ATATATATATGTATATATATATGTGTATATATATGTGTGTGTGTGTGTGTGTGTGTGTACACAAAAGTATAAGTTATATACAAATTTGTATTTGTGTGGAATTGTTTGCTACGAAATTATCTCACATAGAATGTGGATTAGAGAACGTGGTATTATGATTAAGAATAATTATATAATTATATAATCAGAACTCAGTTTTAAGAGTGAGAATATTTTTGTTTCATAATATTGTGAGATGCGACTGTAAAGACTATAAGGATGTGATTTTGTTTAAGTATTATCATTAATAATTTAGCAAAGCCATGTCCTTTATATCGTTATTCGAATCTGATATGACAATGAGTAACAATGTTATGTATATTAGTATTAATTTCAAATTGAAAAGATGAGTTCATTCAGATTTCACCGAAATAATTGTTAGGATAATTTGTCTTATGTGGTGAGAAAGACTAAATCTACTTAAATTCAAAGATGTTTTATATATATATATATATATATATATATATATAAATTTTTTTGCAAAAAATGTAAATGTCAAGAATTAATATTACATTACATTACATAGACTAATTATTCAAAATTTTAATGCTTATGCGTGGTCTCGCGAACTTTTATGAGATCGTTAATAGCATCTCGTCGACGATTCGCTGAACGCACTGGTTGCATTCAATAGAAAAAGCAGCTTTGCGAGTGTTATAAGATTTTTATAATATATGATTAGTTATTGCACTTCCTTCCTCGCGAGATTTAATTAAATATATAAATCAATTTAAAAAATATATAACAGTACATATAATGTAAGATATATCTGCTTTTTCTGCTAAACGCAGCCATTAATCAGAAATTTTTGATTGTAAATAATAATTTAAACAATAAAAATACAATATGACGTAACAGCAGGTGCATTCGGCAGACTTCAACAGTTGCAAAGCAATTTTCTTTCTCAGAAAATGTTCTACGCATGAAAATACACACATTTACAAAATTATAGAAAAGTTAAAAAAAAGAGCGTTATGTGCGTTATTGCATATTTATATTAAAGAATCAGATTTATTCCAGTGAAATCTATCGAAAACAAATTTTCTAATTCGCTATAAGTTTTGTCGATAAAATTCTAACAGAATACAACGCCGATTATATTATATACAATATTGTTTTGGATATCGGAGATTGAAACTTAAGTGAACAATATTATTTATGTCACTCGATAACATCCTGTTAATAATAACGTCTTTTCTTGGTCGGTTATTAGATCAAATGATAAATTTACATAAACAGTTGTTTAATGTCGATTTTAGATCTCACTTCAAGAGCAAATATCTTTTCCTTTTTCACGAGTTTATTTCTGCTTTTAAATTAGATAAACTACACGGAGACACAATATTTTCTTAATTATATTTTTTAATAGATATCTATTGCCAAAATGCGTATATCAAAGCAACCACGTATTAATTTAATGTCAAAATATTATAAGGAACTAGACTACATCGAACATAAATGTGCAAGACAAGTGAGTTTTAATCCATGTGTGAACTGCATTTAACAGCACATCGCAAATTTATCATTGATATTGAAAAATGATGAATCAAAGACTAGCAGAACATTTATTTTGACAAATGTTTGAAATTTTCTATATTGAGATTGGATTATTTTTTAAAATCTAGATCCAATTTTAACATAGAAAACTTCCAACAGTTGCAAAATATATAAATCGCTAATCTTGCCTTGTAAAGTTATTTATTTTCCTTGAAATGCCTAATACTCATTTTATATATTTATATATTTATTTTCAGGAGAGGCTTAAAATATTGCCAATGATAGAAACTCCTAACACTAATGATATAATACAGAGGTAATAATATTAATAAACGAGCGTTTAGTTTTAGGACGCATACGACAAATTTTTATCCATTTGTTCCTATTTTCAATATTTACTTTTTGAATTTGCAGACTTAATCACGCGATAGCATTAATAAATAATAAAGATACGAAATCTGTCTTTAATCATGTAGATACACTTTATTATATTGACAAACTGATATTCACTTATAAAAGTTTACACACATATGAATACAAAGACAATACATCTGGTAATATCACACAATTTCAAGAATATTTAATATTATTCTCTTAATGACATTCTTATCTTCATAAGAACAAATTAAGTTATTCTCTCTCTTCTACAATTCTGGTTTTTCTTTTAGAAAATAAGTCTAGGATTATGATACTGATATCAATACTCAATTTATATATAAAAAAGGAAGTGCAATTATTCTTTGAAAATATGCTCATGTAAATATATAATCAAAATTTGCATACTAATTATATTTATTAAACATAATCGATATTTTCTTTTGAGTAAAAATGAATATTATAATTTATATAAATAAGTTAAATAGGTCAAAAAGTATAAAGTTGATTATCAAATATTATTTCTTATTTTTACTTTATCTAAAAACTTTAATAATTTCAAATTAACAAATATATCTAATACACGAAAACTTTCAAAATTGATACTTTATATATTTGTCTTTATATATTTCAGTAAAAATTCATTGATAAGTGATGTATATAAACGGTACAAACCACTTCTTTCACGTAAGAAAATGGAAAACATATTTGGAATATATTTGAAATCCTATTTTCATTTCTTTTAATTAAGATTCTACAAATTTATATAGGTCAAATCGTGGATGTAATACTTTTTGAAGATTCAGACTTGTATGCAGTTATTTGTGAATTAAAGTGGTTAGACAACTTTCAAAATTTTAATCAAATTTGGGTGTCAAAATCGATAGAAAAGAATTTTGTATCACTTGTAATTCAATATTTTAAGAAGTTCAAGTGTCCCATTCATGCGTTTCAATTTAAGGAAGAGTTACTGACGCCTCCTGTACTTTGTAAAATAAATATAACATGCATATGGTCCGAGGATATTGTAGCTGCCAAGAATTTAGCAGCATCCTTAGATGTATACTTGCTTATTATAAGTAATACGATATTGTTAAATCGTTTTGAACACAATAACAGTTAACAATTTTCTTTTTGACAGAGAAACTTTGTATTCATAAATATGATGCCTTTCCAAGATGTTGTTTTATGTATGCCTCATATGGAAACATTCCAAGTCCGCAATAATCAACTTCATCATTCGGATGAAGATCAGTATATAATAAACACTATACAGCCAACAACCTTAAAAAACAAAAAGCCTTTAAAAAAATCTCCAAATCCGTTTTATGATTATATGTTTTATGATGGTGTATGGCAAAAACCTGTAAACGATACTTATTGGATACAAAATAATGTTATAAAGGCACAAGCAACGAGGTATAAATTTCCATATTTCTCATTGTGTTTTAAATACCAAATCGTTTTTAACTTTTACAAAATCTAATAGTGACTTGGTATATTTGTAATTGATTCATTCGTAATTGATTTACTCTAGAGACGATATTATTAGATGCGTTGCATCATCCAGGAAAGCATACAAAGATTGGAGTTCCCAGTCTACTCAATTCAGAATACAAGCATTGTCCACATTAGCATCTGCCATAAAAGATAGCAGGTAAATTAAAATAATTGTGTCTCTTGTAATATGAAATATCTTCTTATGAAACATCTGATACATTATCTTCTTTTTTTATTTAATAATTTCAGATTGTCGGAAATAGTAAAAAAATGGATCAAATTTCCGTATTGGTACGAATTTATGCAATTTTATTTTCAAAGCAAGGTAACAAGAATCCGTAAGCCGAAAGGCATTATTACGCTCATGGAGAAGGATGAAACTGTTCTATTTCGTAAATTGATACAGAGCTTGATCATCGGTAATACCGTCATTATCATATGTACTGCGAAAACACCTAATCTAGTGCAGTATTGTGATATATTCTTGAAAACCGAGATACCGCCTGGAGTTATAAATTTGCTGTCTTGCGAAGATGTAAAGCTTCTGAGCGATAGTTACATGGCGTCTAATCTTTCGGATATATATTGCCAGTTCACTGTATCTAAGCAAATTATAACCAATTTTTAATAATATGACTATTGACGCTGTAATAGAAAATCATCAAGATTAATAGATGTAGATTTTCATATATCAAGTTAATTTTAATATTACGATCTTAAGTATGAATTTTTGTTCACATTTTCAATCAATTTTAGAAAATAACAGTTTATAACAACATGCAAATTTCACCATTGTAAAAAAAATATCATTTATATAATCATTTATATAATCATTAAAATTGCCGCATTAGATTGTATTACTCATGTTTGAATTTTCAATCCCTGACGAAATGCAACATTGCACAAGCATTCGAGAATATTCAAAATTTGAAATAGTTGAACCCATCGAATGTTGTCGAATTACTATTATTTCTTTTATATGGCCTTTTATATGTTCTTTATAAGTCTAATACAGGCCAAGATGATTTGCGAAAATAATACGTAACTCGAATTCAGTAAAAGATGCAATATAAATTTGAAATTATGAAAAAAAGAAGCGAAGAAGTGATCGTCAATTCAAAAATTACGAAACACATCGCTCCACTACTACATGGAATATTATAAAAAATCATCAATTTTAGATAAATTTTCGTGATTATCAAAGAAGTCTGGAAGAACTTAAGATAATTAAATATAATATCGATATTATCGACTTGATATAAATTAATGATCTTATAAAATATTTATGTTAAAAATCATTAATTTATGCCATTAATTTACATCATTTTAATAAAATACGTTTGGAAAATCTATTCGACGAACAGAGTAACATTTACTTGTCCAATCAGAACGAAGAAATCTTTGCCCTTTTTAATTCTAATTGGTCAAGTAAATGACTACGTTCAGCAGAGAAAGCATCTTTGCAACTGTTGAAAAAAATCTTTGATATGATTGGTTTTTGCCATTAGTTCCTCATGGATCTCAATGTATAAATCATATTAAAGGATTTTACAACAGTTGCAAAGCTGCTTTTCCTGCTAAACACAGCCAATGGCTGCGTTCAGCAGAGAAAGAAGAGCGCTCAGTGAGCGTTCAGTGATTTTTTATTATGATTGGTTTCTACACTTACATTCAACGAAGATCTAAAGGCAAGGACCAATCATATTGAAAAATCTCTGAGCGCTCACTCATCCGCTTTCTCTGCTGAACACAGCCAATGCTATTCCATTCGTAGTGTAGGGTTTGAAACGGCTGAATTCTTCTGCGTTCTAGAACGATCAACTGAGAACATTTCATGTATCTTTAGTTAATTTGTCGTTAAATAGAAGATTAATGTTCAAGGTAAGCGCACTACGATAAAAGACTATACACATATTATTAAGCATCATATCGCTTACCAAAAGACAGAGTACGTATGTACATACCACAATTAAAACCATGTGATAGCGGCTTGGGCTACGTTCCGATATTCACTGCCAGCATTGGAAATCCATAATATACGTGACATGAACTATATATTTTCAGTACTGCAGTGAAACATTGGAACATAGCCTTGATATCGTCGTCCTCTCCCTTTCCTCTCAATCGCTTCACTCTCATAACGCGTAGTGTACTCGCGCTTCCCTCCCTCCGTCCCTTTGTCTCGCCTGCTAAGGAATATTCAGTACAGGTTATGTACGTCAGTTGTCAAAAGATGATGTTTTGAGACGTTCTGTCACGGCCGCGACGACCCGTCGATCCGCTCCGCGTGTTCCGTATTTCTCTCCCGCCTCTCCAACCACTCGCTACGCGACGAACGGGACTAGAGTCGTTAGTTTCATGTGATTTCGCGCTCGGTTTCTTCAGCTTTTGTTCCGCCTCGCGGGTGATGTCGGGAAGTGCTCGGCCAGACGAGCGCTAGACCAAGAAGTGTCGCAATCGAGACCGTTGAGAATGGTCGACGAGGTGGTGGAGATACCACGGAGCCTCGGTAACGAGGACGTCGAGTGCATCATTGACACCGAGATCGATGGCGATGACGACGATTCCGACGGGGTCATAGTTCCGGAACTTCAGGGTACACTATCCAAATGGACAAATTACATACATGGCTGGCAAACTAGATTTATTGTACTCAAAGATGGTACTTTGTCTTATTACAAATCGGAGCAGGACAGCGGATACGGGTGTCGTGGCTCGATTAGTCTGTACAAAGCTAATATCAAGGTGAGAGGTTGTGCCCAGGTAGATCTATCTTGTTGAACGCGTCTGATGTGATAGCAACGGCTGAGAGTATTTTCATTAATTTGTCCGTGTTAACAGGCTCATCAGTTTGATGAATGCAGATTCGATGTGTCGGTAAACGACTGCTTGGTTTGGTATTTAAGGGCGAACAGTCCGGAGGAAAAGCAGCGATGGGTAGATGTCTTGAAATCTTACAAGGTAATTATACGACGTAGTATTATGTTACACGTAGAAATTTAATTTACATAAATTTTAATTCTATAATCTAACATATAAGATTTGTTATCTGTGAATCAAGATATTACCAAGATATTACCAAATTGAATTGTACATGGAAATCAGTAATTTTTGCTTGCAGTCAGAATCTGGATATGGGAGCGAGAATAGTCTCAAACGACATGGTAGTGCCATTTCGCTCGTGTCAAATACACAGTCAACAACGAGCGCTGGTAGTCTCACTAAACGTGGTATTAGAGGATTAAAGGAAAAATTGGCCGAAATTGAAACCTTCCGGGATATTCTAATCAAGCAAATTGATACTCTGCAAAAATATTTTGATAATTGTGCAGAAAATGCCAAGAATACTTCCAAGGAAGGTAATAATTTTTAATTCATGAACATCTGTTCTGTCTCTTATTCTAAATAATTTGGAGTAAATTCATAATGTTTTTAATTATATATAATCATAATCTATAATTTATATTATTAGAATACATATGAAACATATGGGAAAAGCTTTAATGCATTTGCTCAATCTTATTGCGATAAATTTCAGAAAAGAAAATTGAGACAATGTTTGATCCAGCCGAACAATCAGTGGATTTCAAAGGAGAAGCGATAACATTTAAGGCCACCAGCGAGGGAGTGTTGGCAACCTTACAGCATTGCGTCGAATTGATGGTGCAGAGAGAGGATGCATGGCGCCGTAGATGGGAGAAGGAAGTCGAAAAGAAACGAAAGTTACAAGAACTTTATAAAGCTCTGAAAGACCAAGTTGCCATGCATCATAACGGTTCTCCAAGACCCAGGGTCCTTATTCATGGAGGTCCTGATTACGAGGTTGAGTTTTTACAAAAGTTTCTTTTTCAATCTCGTTGCCACATACAATTTCTATTTTATTTTGAGATTTTGAAAGTATATTCAAATATTTATAGTTATATAGATACTTACAATACATTTCTATATATTATAATAATAGAATGGAGAAACATGAAAAAAAGATTTAAAAGTTGAAAAATACTTTTGTATAATATAATTGTGAGATTGTAATATTTATTTATGGATATCATATATCTGTTCAAGTTGTTTGTCTATCATTATATAACACTATATATAACACTTGAACAGCAATATATTTGTATAACTATCATGATAGCTTTAAACAAAATAAAAATTAGAAAGATGCATATAAAATTAATAAATCATATTTTATATATTACATTAAAAAATACTTCGTGTTGAGTATATTTCTACATTCAAGTATGTAAATTATTTTCCAAAATTTTTTAAGAAATTTTATCATCTTTTAATTACATTTTTAAATATAAGAATTTGTTAAAATTATTTATTTTCAATTTTTATTTTTTCATCCATATTTATATACTATCCATATGCTAATTATTTTTCTTTAAATTTTTTTTTAGTATTATGAATTTTTCATCAAATATTGATGACGATAGCATTTTTTAACTTATGATAAAGTCATCTTACATCATACTGTATCTCTAAATGACATAAGTAACGTTTGTATATTAGAAAGTAAGAGAAATTTGTTTCTACCTATATTTCGCAATTGCGTATAAGGTCACTTTGGAAATCTTTCGCCCGCTTAGTATCTTTCAGACTACTAAAGAATACATATAGACTTACATATTTACGCTTCATATAAATACATATAAATACTTAAAGTTTCAAATTTTTTTATTAAAGGATGAAATTGAAGATAAAGTTTTATAATGTGAGTTCGTGATTATGTACACTATTATAAATAAAAATAACGAATTTGCAAAATAACGATATTTAAATGTGCATACATTTTTTTTACGTATTTGTGTACAATGAATTATGAATTAAGATCCAGAGAGATAAATACGCGTTAAAATTAGTAATTTATTTCAATAACGTTTGACACTTAATATTTAAGGAAGGTCCGCACAGCGCTCTTTGCGACGAAGAATTTTATGATGCTGTTGAAACGGGTCTGGATAAAATCGAGGAGGAGAATCAACTAAGGGATCGTTTAAAACAGAAATCTGTTTCGATTTTGACATCCCCTGTCACAACAGCGTCTACGCACAAGCTATGGCCAGAGGTAATTTATATTTCGATTGTAAATAAATTCTTAATTAACAGTGTCAATTTTTAATACTAATTGTTAATTATCTACATGTTTGTTGTATATTTAACAGAAACTCTCGTATCTTATATTTTGTTCCGTTTACAGATAGAGAAAATTACGATGGAGCAGTTGCATTATGCCCGACTCGGCGTAGGCGGAGCGGGTGGTTGGCAATTGTTCGCTGAAGATGGTGATATGCGAATGTACCGGCGAGAAGAGGAGGCTGACGGGTTGGTCGTAGATCCTCTCAAAGCGTGTCACGTCGTCAAAGGAGTGACCGGTCATGAGGTTTGCAAGATATTCTTCAGTCCTGAGTACAGAAGCGGTTGGGAAGCCACTTTGGAAGACATGACAGTTGTCGAAAACATTTCCAAGGATACATTATTATTTTTGCAAACGCACAAACGCATCTGGCCAGCGAGTCAACGAGATGCGTTATTCTGGTCGCACATACGCCGAGTGTCCGATGATCAAGATCGCGACGCTCATGATCTGTGGATAGTCTGTAATCACAGTACTGAACATCCTGATTATCCGGTATGTATTATTTGACACGGAAAATTTCCTTACTTATCGAATTAGATTTCAACATCATTAAGTGAAATGATCGTTGTAGCCAAACGCGGGTAAATGCGTGAGAGTTTATCTGACGGTTTGTTTGGTATGCCAAACATTCATCGATCCCCCGAAGGACGAGGAAGAAATAAAGAGGGAAAATATTACGTGTAAAATAACATATTGTTCAGTTGGTTAGTATATTAACATTTGTTAATGTTTTAATTTTTATTAACTATTATAATTGATGTATCTAATATCTGAATAAAATTCAATAATTTTTGCTGTTTTGCTGTTAGATGTATTTAATTGTAGAAGAGAAATTGTATATTACATATATACTCGGCTTTCTTCTTTCTATACTAATATTTTGTTTTGAATTTTAGTAAATCCAGGTGGATGGGCTCCTGCATCTGTTTTGCGGGCTGTTTACAAGAGAGAGTATCCAAAGTTCCTCAAGCGTTTCACGAACTTTTGTATCGATCAATGCAAAAACAAGCCAATCACATTCTGAATGTGATAAGAAAAAGCAAAGAACTTCAATGTTTTCCATCCAATTCCTTATTCACTATCTCGAAGTGTCTTCACGTGATTACTGTAAAAACAAGTTTGTATTGTTACATACTGTAGGGATTATAGAACGGCCATTACGACGTAAGTGAAACCGTTTTGTATATTACCTTTTTTTTTATTTGCTTAAGATAATCGACTTATATAGCTTACGAACGGGAAAAACGAATCGTTATATTAAAAGCCATTTATGATTATAAGTGAGAGTGTATGACAATTGCATACACTGAAAAAACTAACTTTGATGAAAGCACGCGTGGCTGCAGCACCGTTTACAAACTATCCTTTTCCTCTTTCGTGTAACATTCTGTTATTTGTTATACAGAACGCTATCGCAGAATCCAATTGTACAAATCTTTAACAAAAATTGGATTCATATACATATTTATCTCTTGTTACATATTACAATCTACAATTAAATGCTGTATGATATCAGATTATACCGTTATTTTTATTCGTACATAAAAATGTGTACATTGCTATGCGATATAAAGGTCATATGGAAAAACGTAATAAAAAGACTGTTGTAGATTTATTATAAAATAACAATCGTTTCCACACATCATGTCATTCATCAAACCTTTCATCTCGTACAGTAAAGATATTAGAATGAAGAAGCGTGAAATGTTTCTTTGAGAAACAAATTTATTTTTGTCAGTTAAATGAAACGTAAAGAATTATTCTATATCATGTATATACAATGTACAAAATACTCTAATACATTTACTGGTGCAGAGAAGACTACTAAGATAGCGAAATCTCGACTCTAGCTTTCTCAGTTCTACGAAGTAGATCGACCCGCTTATAGATCGTAGGCAGTGAATGAATTAATTCATTTTCTCAAGATATATTATCAGATAATTCAATAAAAAATTTTAACTTTAGAGAATATATAATTAAATGAGATATTATTAAATTCTGAATAATAAATATCCTATTTCAGCATCTATAAAATTCTAAGAAGCATATGTTTAGCAAATGATAACATGATTTTTAAAAATAGAAAATAACTATAAAAAATTGTATTTACCTGTACAACTTGTATATTCAACAAAAAAATATTTAAATGTAAATGCATTTAATTTTACAGGTTGCATAAAATATAATGACAATTATATATATGTATATATATATATATATATAATAT